CATGTACTTTGTCATAATGCTTAGGAGATTTAAAAAAATGAGCTTTATGAGACACACACACACACACACACACACACACACACACACACACACGCGCGCGCGCGCGCAGAGAGAGAGAGAGAGAGAGAGAGAGAGAGAGAGAGAGAGAGAGAAATATATTGTAGTATAATTTAATCTTTAATTTTTACTAAACTTAATCTTTAATTTTTTACGCCTTTAATTTATTACTGCACTGTATGTACTATGTACTTACATATTTAAACCTAATATACTGCAAATGTAAGTGACTTGTGACAGTGTAAGTAACTTGGGATAGCATGTACTTTTGTTTGTAAATTTAGTCATGATATCCATGAGTCTCTAAAGAAAATTTTAAATTTTAAAATTTAAATTTTCTTTAGAGACTCATGGATAGATATCACAATTAAATTTAATAAAAATACACGTTGTCATCTATATATATGGTATAGCAAATATTGCAGAATTCCCTAATTTCATTATCTGCTTTGTATGGGTGCTTGATTAAATTTCCTTTTATGTAATCTTCACTAATCTTCTTTCATTTTATATAATAACTGAGCATGTTTTTTTCATGTAAGTTTTCTATCACATTAATACTGATCAATACAATATATTATGTACAAATATGATAAAACGAATTGTTATGGAATTATTGGTTTTAACGATGTTTTATCGATGTCTTTCATAGTATTTTGAAAATAAAATATAATTGTATTATATTAAAGGAGATATGTAATTCTATTATTTTTATCCCATTATTTTTCTTCAATATAATTTAAACGAAATTTATGAAATTTAATTTAGTAAATTTTACAATTAAGAAAGCAAGTAGAAAAAAGGACAAAGTATGCAATTATGAATTGGCTTATAGGATAAAGTGGATGAATCCGAGAGCATGCATAAATGAGGCATATACTCCTACATCCATCGAACATATGGCAAATGTGGCAACTCACGGAATATGGATTGTACCTTCGGTAATTGGCAGTATCGAGCTTATACGCCGTTCGTCAACATGGGCTCAGTTTGTTTCAGCTTGCGTATACGGCACTTCCTTGATCCTTGTCTTTGCAGTATCGACTTTTTTCCACAGTGTGCACTATTGCAATCATAACAGGTATTTAATCATAGTTTTTTACCATTCTTATTTCTTTCAAATTTTTTGAGACACGTAAGATAGTAAACATGACATTCATCGCGCATAATATTTTAGACAACTAAAAGATGCATTGCATCGTTGCGATCGTGCTATGATTTACATCTTCATAGCAGCCAGTTACTTTCCATGGTTAAATATAGAACACTTCTCAGACGATGAGCTTTTGTTCGCGATGCGATATGTCGTTTGGATCATGGCTGTAATGGGTATCCTCTATCAGCAGATCTTTCACGAGAGATACAAGATGCTCGAAACTATTTTCTATGTGGTTATGGGTATTGGACCTAGCGTTGCGATCCTTAATGTTGTAAGTAAAGTAAAATTGTATTTAGATTGCTTATAATTGCTTGAATTTCATTTTAGAAGAGAATGAACACGAGAAATATTTTGTTCAAGCAAAATATATTTTATACATAATTTCATATGATTTAAAATCTTATCTTAATAATATCTCGATTAATTTATGATAAATATTTTTACAGTATAATTATTACAATATTACGGAATTGAAACTGGGTGGGCTGATGTATGTTCTTGGCTTAGTATTTTTCAAATCGGATGGTCGTATACCTTGCGCGCATGCAATTTGGCATCTTTTCGTAGCTGCGGCGGCTGGATTTCATTATTACGCGATTCTGAACCATGTATTTCCTGAAACAGACTCGACGAATATTCTTGGACCATCTACCGATAGCATGCCACAATTATCTAATATACTAAAGCCTCATATAGAATTGTAAGAGTGGTATACTGTTTTTTACAGTGTTTCTTCCAAATATTAAATATTCTAAAATGTATAGTTTTATGAAGGGTAAATATTTTACGATAGAGGGATATTATTTAATTTATGTATATGCCTATATATTATGTATTTTCAGACTTTGATAAGAAATTTATTTTTTAATCGTGATTTGCGTGTGTGCTGGTCTATTAACTAGACGTTTTCTCGTAATTATTTCAAATGTTTCTCTCAGTAAACAGAAATCGTGTATATATAATGTATAAACGCAATAAACGCTATAAAAAAGCGTAGTGAATTAAATGGTATGTATTAAAACGAATGAAAAAGAAAGATTTTTAAGTACCTGACGGCCATATAAGACTTCATTCATATATTATGAATGTGTTACATATTAAAAATAAGACAAAAAATATGATATTATATTACATTATATTAACAGATATTAATATAACGCAGTTATATTGCTAATTACATAACGAGTTCGAATATACATCTAGCGAATATTGTATCATTCATATTCCATTTAGTATCAGATTTAATGTTTTGACACTACTCGTGAATAATTATTAAGTAAGAAAGAAAATTTTATCATTCTTGTATTTTTTCAAATACAGATGGAATATTTTTTGGGAAAAACATTATTTTGTTTTATCTTATATAAGTTTGATAAAGTAAACTTCTATATTAAATAGTAAATTTCTATATTAGAATCTTTACAAAATACAAATGCCAAGTTTTATCTTAGCGATGAATGGAAATCAAATTGACTGAATACATATTACTTTCTGCTGGAAGTGTCTTTCTATTTGCAGATATATTGTGCCAAAATTAAATTAAACTCGCGTATGTCCTACCTTAGGATATTTTCTTCCAATGAACTATTGATGTTTCTTTAAGGAAAAACAAATGAATGTATTATTTGAATCATACTTGTTTCGCTAACATTTTGATAGGGAATCACAAAAAAAAAAAGAAAAAATGTTATATAATATATTTTGCTGTAATTATAGAGCGTTTTTTGAAATGTAATATATTGAGCAAACGGCCTTATTTGTATTATTACTAGATATGATATATAATTGAACGAAATTATATAGCTTTATATAACAACTATGGATACTTGTTGTTAGAGTTAAATTATGATATGTTTATATCAAAACGCGCGCGCGCGCGATCTAATTTTTTTAATTCCATATATATGTATATCAATTATATATTGAAATTAGTATATATAGTAATAGACAATATTTGTATGTATACGTACGTATATCGTGTGTGTGTCATACATGCATATATATGTATATATAAATATATATAAGTTTGCTTTCCAA